GTGCTCTAGGTGTCCCTGCTGGAGCAGGGGGTTGGACTAGATGATCTCTAGAGGTCCCTTCACCCTTAAGCATTCTGTGGTTCTGTATCTTGCTTATATGTATTACTTTAAATCAGTTGCATGCCATTAGGTGCAAGTTACTCTAATTATGTAGCAAGGAAATGCTATGAACATAAGTGAGATAAAAATGGATGTAAGTAGCAACCCTTTTATTGGAATAATCACGTTCAATATTCTTTTTTGTTGTTATTTTTTGAGCCTACTTAATTCATATTCTGCTGATGCAAACCTGACAACTTGCTGCAGCTTCTGAAACCTCCAAAAAGGCCTAGAAAGGCTTTCTGTAGAAATGTCTAAGTACTTGACCCGGGTAGTCTTCACACAGAGGAGTCTGAAGGTGAGAGAAACTTTATTTGTTGGAGGTCTCTGTAAACACTGGCTGTTCTCTTCCCAGATGTCCAACATAACCGTGACGTACAGAGACGGCCGAGTGGCCCAGCTGGAGCAGGTGTACATCAGAGGCAGCAAGATACGGTTTCTCATTTTACCAGACATGCTGAAGAACGCTCCTATGCTGAAGAGCATGAAGAATAAAAACCAGGGTTCTGGGGCTGGGCGAGGAAAAGCAGCTATTCTCAAAGCTCAAGGTGAGTGTTGGTGGTTTATGGAGCCCTTGCCCCCTGCTCCTCTGCAGCTTTAGCATTTTGATATGGAGGAGCACAAAAGTTTTCATCTGTATCACTGAGGAAACAAGTAACTTACAATACAGAATAATGACTGGTTTCTCTATTTCCCCCATACGTTTTGTCTTTGTTTGCATGTTCTCCTGTGAACGTGGCCTTTACCAGTTTGGACCACTTGGATAAGGAGCTAAGTGTTTTTGTTAAGGCTGTGTTTTATAGAAAAAAAAAAAAAAAAAAGTATTCTCTTAATATGAATCTCTAAATAATTTGGCAGTTGTAATTACCTATGTGCGATTGTAATTACCTGTCCCTCGTTAGCACTCCTCTGAGATGAGTAGTGTGGTTACAACAAGTTTGAGTAAGACTTTTTTGGCTACAAAATCCTGCATTAACTTTAGCAGGGGTAGTGAGTAAGTGGGACCTGCTGGGATATTCCGAGTTCTGCTGCAAAATCCCAGTGTGAGGTTTTAAACATCAATGAAGTTTCTGACACAGCAGCTCTACCATGACACAAATTTCCTGTGGTTCAGAATTGTGACAGATGAGAACGTACACAAGCTGTATTAATGCCTTTCTGTCTCTATACACTGCGTTGTTTCAAGTGGCAAAACTGTGTAGATGTTGGGCCTGGTTCTTCTCACAGAACAGTCTTATCTCTCTCTCTCTGTGTTTTTTTTGTTTGTTTGTTTGTTTTGTTTTTTTTGTTTGTTTTTTAATGTTAGTTCAGCTTCTGAACTTTGCACAGTACTCTTATTTTCATACTGCTAAACAAGAGACTTTGACATTTATGTTTTTCTCAGTTTCTGTGGGGGAGAAAAAAAAATGCAGTTATACACAATTCACCTGATCCTTAATATTTTCTTCCTTCAGTGGCTGCAAGAGGAAGAGGCCGTGGGATGGGCCGTGGCAACATATTCCAGAAGCGAAGATAATTTTGGTCTTGACCGACAGGCTTAATTTTTTTTTTTATTAGGGAATGTTAACTTGACTACATGTGCATCAGTATCCTTTTTTTTTTTTTAATAAATATTTCTGACAAAAAAGTGTATGCTCTTATATGACAGAACTCCTCTTGGACACATCCAAATCCTGGCTGCTTTTTATAGCTGAGAAACATGGTAGGTTTTTACAAGACTTAAAACTGTTTTGTGTGCAAAACAGAGGGCTTGGCACTTAGGTTTGACTTTGGTGTGTCTTTTTGTATGGTGGATTGAGTTTTAAAAGATCTTCTTATTTCTCTTGCTAAATCCTATTAAGGATCACCCTCTAAAGAAAAATTAGGAGGCATTTTTGAGCTAAACAGAGGCAACTTCCTGAGAAGCAAAGCACTACTTTGTTTTGCTTCATATGTTGACCAGTACACTGATATTTTTCCTGTATTTCATTTTATTTTCTCTTTGGGAAATGTTTTTCACTAATGTGTGCATGACTTAAATATTTGATATATAGGCCTAGCCTGAGGCTCAAGATTCAGTTCTAATCCTTTTGGTAACTAATTTGCTTTCTCCTCCACTCTACCTGGGGAGATAAGTTCATTGACAGAATATAAAATACTGTTCTTTTTTTTATTTTTTTCTTCTTTTTATTTTTTTAGGAGAAATTTGAAATGTTTTGTGAATTCTAAAGCTAGTCAGGGTATATAGGGGAAGGTTTGTATTAATAATTATCCATTAAATGTGACTCTATACAAAAACTAATCTTTCAAATGAGACCCAGGGCTGATCTTGGCTTCAGTCTTAACACTCATGTGTCATCATAAGGATCATGAGGTCACGTGCAGGAAACCAACTTTCATTAAAGCTTTAGATTATTTTGCTGAAAATAGTGTGGTGGTTCTCATTGCTGACTTAAATGACTGAAATGTTTAAATCAACACTCCTGTACCTAATCTCCTACTTATGCGATGAATTATCAGTCTGTGCATGTGTCAAGTATCTGTTCTTACTCCTCTGCCCGGATACTGTGAAGACTTTCCCTTTCGTGTAGACATGGGAGTTCAGTTAATGCATCAACTTGCTGCATTGTCTGTGAATAAAGCATTGAGCTCGGATTGTTAGAAAAAAAAAATCTTCTGTGTAGTCATCTCTACTATTTGTGTTAGAAACCTAATGTGTTCAAGTAGTGCTTGGGATTGATTATAAAAAGTAAGTTAATGCTTTTTTCTGTTTAAGTTGAGGCGTTCAATAAGGCTTTTCTTTAGAGTAGGCTATAACCACATCAGTTTGTCCAAAATCAGTTCACAGTGACAGTTTTCACAAAATGTTACTTCAGTTCCCACTTGTGTAACAGTAATGCCTTTGTGAAGGCAGCATTGCCATTTTAAAATAAGCACTTAGCAGAACTTAGTAACGGTGTTTAAACCTATTGCAGAAGCCTGGAATCTGCAGTCGCTCCGAAGGGAAGCCTGGTTGCTGGTAGTTGGTCTGACCATCCCCTCTGAAGACACCTGTGTGTGAAACATGAGCAAGGAGAAGGGCCCTGGTGCAGAGGGGCAGTGTGACCTTTCTAACCAGTAGCAGAAATCCCTGTTTAGAGTTATGGGAGCCCTTAGAGCTTAGCTCTAAACCTTGCTGGGGGGAGGAGGACATCTGTTCTCTTCATAGAACTTCCTTCCGCTGCCTTTGGGAAGGTGTGAGACAGCCTATCTTCAAGTGAACCTCACGTCCGTTTTGAATCTCTACACCATGAAAGCATCCTGCACGCTTAGCCTCTGTCACGGAGTTTTAGTGCAGAAGAGAGCCCTGTCTTGTGCTCTACCATGAACATCCA